AAAAAAGTTTACTTAATTGTCTGGCAAACCACAAACAGCTCTCAGCCATGCAGCCTTTATCTGTGTGCACAAATGCAGGGATACACGCCCCATTTAAGGAGGACAGGTAAGAACACAATCACCAATCACTGTGATGTCACTCAGAGAGGATTCACACAGAGTCACCAGGTGAAAATAATAACCAATCACTGTGACAGAAAGGTTTCACAGTGAACATTCCACTAGTACCACTAGTGCTCCTGTTAATATGCAGCTCTGCATACTCTGAATAAAGTGTCCTAAAATACCATTTATCATGTCAAAATATAAGAAGTGTAACAGCTGGCTGGATGTTTTTCATTTAGCTTCTTTTCATTAAAAGAGGATGTATTGCCGGTGGCAGATATATATAGATATATGTATAACAATTATGTGAAAAAGTTTTATTGGTGTCAGAAATAAGTGCATGTTCAGTGTGACATCGTTACTCTCAGAACATGCACTTGCACAGAGTGCGACCCTCTCTTCTTTAAATGTCAACTATTCTATCAACCACTGACCTCAGATAGTATAATAATAATAATAAACAACCAAGAATGTCTTATGTTATGCATTAATCCTGAATCATATTAATCTCTAAGTCACTCAGTAACATGAACACCTTCCCTCTTTCTGCTCCCAGCAGGTATGGCTCTGCCCCACTTGCCCCAAATGACTCGACGCCTGTTTGCCATCCATCATACACTAGTTATCTTTCCATATGTCCTGTACTGAGTCTGACATGGGGCAGCTGGCTGTATCAGTTATCTGTTGGAGTCTGGCCAACATGTATATCTGCTTTGCTAAAAGTGAAATTCTCAGAAACTGGTAAATCATTAAGGTGACTACAGTAGTATGGTCCTGTCTGGACAGTGCATGCTCCTGAGGGAACCTGAAGGTGTTCACATGAGAGAGAGATCGATCTTTTTCATCTCTGAGTGACAGATTCGCTCTTTTTGAAATCCTCACAATGGACTTCCAGTGAAGTCTTTTCTCTCCTCTGCACCAAACACTCAGTGCATACAAACAGTGCAGAGCAGCTGCCATTTGCACAGCTGTGTTGTGCTCTGGAGTACTGCCAGTGTTTTTGAGTCCACACGTGCTCAGTAGCAACAGAACATAACACACACACACACACACACACCCACACACAAAAACAGAGAGTGATGAGTAAATGAAAATTTGAGTGTAAAAAAGGGCAAACGGCTCCTCTTCCAGACAGGGCCTCAAGATCAGGTCTGACTGCCACAAACCAACTGCGACACATTGAACCTGGGGCCTCAGGGCCCTTAAGGAATTTTACACACATGACAAAATATAGACCCGATGCAGTCAAGGTGGGAGATTTGGTGGGATTATTACAAGCATTTTTTTGCCCCTGGGGTTAAAGGTATAGTTCCGATATTTGGAAGTGGGGTTGGGGTACCTACTTGTGCATAGACAGTATATCATGTACAGTAGAAGTCAGTTGGCATGCCCCCCAGTTTGGAGAAGCGGGCTGGAATCTGACTTGAAAGCTGAGCAACAGAACATGTTTTAACCACCTGAAAAAATCAGTATCCGTTAAAGTGTTTGCTATATTTACAGTATCTTCACTGCTTTACCTTGATGTCAGACAATGATTTCCACCTGGAAAATGAAGCCGTTATATCACTCTCTCTTCAAGGCCAGACTCCATTGAGACAAACAGTGATTTAACAGCGCTTAACACAGCAGCTGCTGCTGCCTCTATCATTTATTTTGTTCATGTTAGTGTGTGACTTTGGCGTTTGGGATTCACCAAAGTCACACACAAACAAACTAAGTGATTGAAGCAGCCGTACACCAGCATTTCCTGTGTTAAGCGATCTAAAATCACTGTTTTTCTCAATGCAATCTGGCGGCTTTTCAGAGCATGGATGGGAAACTGAAGTTGTTAACAGCTTCCCTGCTGGAGCAGGCTGTCTGACCAACCTGGTCAAACTCTGAAGTCATAGAAATCTAGCGCTTGAGCAGTGGTTGTGGCGTCATACGCTGATGAAAAAAGCCGTCCCTTAACGTTGGCATGATACGCAGCTGGTCGTCGTTATAGTTTAACAGCGCTCGGTGGTACCGGGGGAAACGTGGTGGGACAAGAACGAACGTTAAGGCATTGAAAGTCCAAGGAGTTTTGGAAGGGTGGTGGATGGGTTCCACCAAACCCTGTTTTTTCCCCCTGAACCTAACTACATGTTTTTGTTGCCTAAACCCAACCACGTGCTTGTGTTGTTGGAGGAAAACAATTTTGAATTTGCAGTGTTGTACTAACGTAGTGCTTTTATTGTGAAAGAGACTGTATGTAAACTGTACATTTCCTGTGAAAACAGAAGTGTATTTTGAAAACAGACAATGCATGTAACAGGCTGAAGTTGACACGGCGTCCCAGAACGTCAACAACCAACACACCCAGGGTACCTTGGACGTCATATGTGGACGTGGAAAGTCCATGACCAAACGTGGACATGTGACGAGGTCAGAGTGAGAATGTGTTGGTCTGACAGGAAAGTAAGGCGCCAAAAATGCTCTCAATATAGTGCACACTTTAACTGATATTGATTTTTTGTTTTTTTTTTAGGTGGCTAAAATGTGTTTTGTTGCTGACCCCATCCACAGCTGTACATTGCTTAAAGTCTGTGTCGGACTCCAGTCTGCTTCTCCAAACTGGGGGCGTGTCGACCGACATCTACTGTATGTAATACACTGACTGTTAATAAGAACCCCATACAACCTCACTTCAGAATATCAGAACTATCCCTTTAATGTGTCACCAGCTTTCTGTGTATTTTTGTCCATGCTCATGATGTTTGTTCACGTGTACACAGGTCACTTTGAAAATATGTTTTGATCTCAGTGAGGCTACATATTTATTAACATATTTATTCCTGTCATGAAAAATGATCCTAAAGCATCAAACACCAGCGAATGAGTTTTGTCATTTCTGACTTTAGAGGGTCAGCAGAGAACAATTAACTATAAAAAACGAGCACGTGTTGGATACAGGTGACTGTCTCCTCTCTGCTCCTCCAGTGAGACTTTGCCTGTTTGTAGAATAAATCATTGATCTGTGTTGATGTTGCTGATGAGCCCACATCCAAAACCTCCAGCTGTGTTTTCACAGCTGTGCGACAGAGAACAGGACTATATGGGGGTTCAGTGACATGACACCTCATTCCTGGTAGCATCAATATAAAACACTACTGGACTTAGAACCTATGAGCACTATTTGTTTTCATGGCTACACCCTATCAACACTGTTGGTAAACATCCAGAGCCGCTCACGTTTGCTGTTGGCTTCTTTTCAGAGGACTAGAGAGGATAGAATCTACAGACGGGTTCGTCCAGCAGGATGAGACTCAGCTGGAAAAACCTCCCGTCACCTCTCCACCTGTCTCACAGCACCATCTGCTGTTAGAGGGACAGATTTCAGCTGAACGACAGCTGACGGTTTTAATCAAAATTAATAGTACTGTACTTAAAGTACACACCAACAGTATTTGGCATTACAGCATCAAGGTTGTCCAGCTGATACAGAGTGAGCTTTTTTCAACTTTTCTGAAAACTACTGTGTCAGACCTACGACAAATACCTGAGTTTTGTAGATCTGAAAAGGATTAATTGATTACTTGATCAACAGAGTGAAGTAACAAGTCACTGATGTTAAAAGTCCAAGTCGAGTTGCGAGTTGCGATGCTTGCAAAGCTACACAGTACATTATACGCACAACACAAAGGGTTGGAACATTTTGTCTTTAAACTTTACAGTTATAACTGAAAATGACAGCAGACACAAACATGTCTGCCGATTTTAGATATATCTCCACAATTCAGAATCATGGCCAGTTGCCTGCCTGGAAATGTTAGCGCAATGTCAGTCCACTGGGCCGTGGGGTTGTTGGGTACGTGCTATACCTACGACACTGGTTATATCCTGCATACAAATGTTTAAAATGTTGTCAGTATGGACATACTACACATCCTTAGCTCACTTAGATTCTCCATAATTCAATCGTTGAGTGTATTTTAAGAAAACCATGACCACCAAATTATAATTCATTCTGTTTTAACAGCATGGTAAACAAGTCTTGTTTACCATGCTGTTAAACCGGATAAAAACCAATAAACTAAATACCAATAAAAATCAGAGAATCGATTCTCTACTTTTAAAGTGGCAATAGAGAAAAATGTGTCCATTTCTTGATTCTTTATATTCCTTTCATCCATATGGGTTTACTGATCAAAAGTATCAAAATAGTTTTTCAAAATAATTAAGTCGTGGATATTGTTACGTGTAAGTCCATAGCTCGCTGTACCTGCTAGCTGCTATGACCGCACTTTAACTGAAACACCAGTTCACAATATTCCCTCTCCTTGTTAGCTTTAGCTCGCTGGCTAAAAAATAAAAGTGCCCTCATCTATTACAAATAGGCTTGTTGCTGAGAGGCAGGTTGATTTTAAGATTATAAAGAGAGGAAAAAGGCATCAGCAGCTGATGTGTGACCTGGAGACTGGGCTACTGGTCATCTCCAGCTGCATTCACTTCTTCTTTGAGGACTCTGAAAAGCACTATATAAGTGTGATGACATTATCAATCTAGTTAACAATAAAAATGAGTCACTTTATTATTATTATTATTATTATTATTATTATTACAAGGGCAATTTATTTGAGTATTTTGTTTTATGAATATAAAATGTAGCTAAGATAATGAGCAAGTTAATTATATATTATACATTTTTAGATACATTTGGATTTTATTATTTATTTTATTAACAAATAAGGTTCTTTGAGTGAAATGTTCTTGTCAAAATGGCGTCGGAGATCCAAGTGAAAATAAATCCAGAAGAGTTGAAAAGAAGTTACAGACTCCTGTTTGAGTGTATGCAGACTGCAGTGACTGCTCCCCTCCAGGCTGGTAGGGGGCAGCACCGCTCCGATGATACAGGAAGTAGAGCCGGCTGGTGGAAACCAGTGGAAGCTTCCCAGCGGCGGTCAGTCAGCAGTCTTCAGTCTACATCTGAGTTTTATAAAACATCAGGAACACACAGCTGTTTAAACACTGTGTAAAGAGTGTTTACAGAATACAGTGGAGATGGACGGCGGCTCCGGAAATGACGATCTGTTTGATAATATTCTTCTGGCGGATGAAAAGTGAGTTTTCTGGAAGTTGAGTGTTTTGTTTTGTTGTTTACCGCGGTATGTCCCTACCTGGGCCCCGTACATCACGTTGTACACAGGTAACACAGTTATTCAGATTATATCGTCGACGATATGACAAATACATTGGATGTTTTTAGTTCTTCTAATGTGGTTTATATGTTCTCACAGCATCAAGCTCTGACGACAGTTAACTGATGATGAATTAGACTGTTGAACTCATTTTTTATACATGTCTCACTTTTAGATTTATGATGAAAATGTGTTGATATAATTCTGATTTTAGATGAGAACATTCAGGTTAGTGTAAAATATCTGATGACTTTCATACTAAAGAATGATCTATAATGTTATACATGATAATTAGGGACTGTTATTTATTCATCAGAGGAGGGGGGTGGCTGAGGTGTTACTTTGTTTTTTTTGTTTCACTCCTCCTGAAGCTACAAATATATTTTTCCTTAATGATGAGTTCATACTACACATTTTTGTCTGTTCCCACAGTCACTGTGTCAGATTAGGTGATTGTGGAGTCATAAAATCTTGCCGTGACTTGGCCGGCGGTCATAACTGACTACACATTGGTCCACCAATCATCCCTGCTTGTCTTTCACGATGTGTGTGATGTCATCAGGTTACTCTTGTCCTAGTTTTATTATTATTACTATTATTTCAGTCACTGTGGGTGTTCATGGCCCCGAACTGTTATTGTAGTAACGTAAAAAGCGCCACCGTGTGCAAACTGTACAAGTCACTGAATCCTCCACATCAAGTTCCTGCAAGTGTTTCACAATAAAAGCCTGTTAGGAAAATGAAGAGATTCTCTTAACTGAAATTATGATGGGCTCTTAATATTTAACAGATACAGGAAGTGTTGAGTTTGAAGTGACGGCACGATGCATAAATGGGAGCAAATTAAAAGTAAAAATATAAGAATACAGAGGGAACGACTAAGAGAAAAATCAAACATGCTAGACTTTCTGTCGGGACGTCGTGAGGCTACTGCAGAGTCATTGGTCCCCGGAGTGAATGCCAATTGTTACCTTTCCCTTGAAATACAAAAGATGTTGGTGGGTTTTTTGTCCAGTGGGAAATGGGCTAGATAAGCTCCAAGGCTGTGTCCAACAAGAGGACACTTAGACCAGGTGAATTCAGTACAAGTTTTTATAAACTTCAGATAGTTTGCATTCCCTCTCATTAAGCATCATCCAACATATTCCAGAAATAATAAAAATAGTCTCCAACCACTGAGTGAGGGTGTGATTGTTTTTCAGGTTCAGAGGGGAGGGCTACCAGGACGGGTTTGAGAAAGGGACCCGCCGAGGACTGCAGGATGGACGCAGACATGGAGCCTCTCACGGGGCCAAACTGTCCACTGAGGTGAGTTACCACAGAATATTTCTGCCATGTTGATCTGTAGCTTAGCGCCAGAATGTGTCCCATCACACCAGACTGTACATGGGTCAGTGTGCTGTTTATTTTATTTTGGTGCACAGAATATGACTGACAGATGTCCCTCTGTATGAATATGTTTGAACTTTAATCAGAACTGGTCCCTATGACCCTGCTGTCTGTAAGCATTACATTAAATACATGGTCAAGTGGACAGGGTCAGCAGTTTGTTATTTTATTTAAGTCGGGTTGTGTTGCTTTGAATCTGTTGATCAGTTCACAGTCTCTCGCCCTCTAACCTACAGATTTCCTTCTACTATGGGTTCGCCATCACGTGGAAATGTCTCCTCCAGCATAATACAGATGTCAAATCAAGGTACGATGTCCACTTTATAACCTACATACTGATGCAGATGATTTAAATGAACCCTTTTTCTGCTTCAGTTTAAAGAGCTAAAAGCAGCAGGCAATAACTGAACCTGTGTCCCAGCACTGTGCTTCAAACATGGCTTAACTAATCCAAGCTAACAACAACTAACAAGTTTTGTGTGTGTGTGTGTGTGTGTGTGTGTGTGTGTGTGTGTGTGTGCTGTCAGGAAGCGTATGAAGGCGCTGGAGGCTCTGCTGGGTTTGATCCAGAACTCCCCTCATGATGATCCGCAGTCTCCAAAGCTACAGGAGTCCATGGAGAAACTTCGCGCCAAATTCAGACAGGTACTTCATTTTCTTGACTTTGGTCATGGTGACAGATGTCTCGAGGTTTGTATGGACTGAGCAAGAGATTCATTCTGCCCCACTGCTAAAAGGACTGCTACAACAAATCATTTTTACCTGCTGCCATACAATTGTACAACGCCTCCCTGTAACTGTAAATACTCACCTGCCCACCAGATTTCTCACAGCTGTTTTTAACCCATTTCACATTCAATTTGTTTTTGTATTCTATGTTCCTGTGATCTATGTTTTTGTGCTTGTGTCTTGACGTTTTTATCAGCTGCTATGACATTTTAATTTCCCTTTGGGGATAAATAAATCTATCCATACATACATCCATATGAACAGAGCATAGTTACCATGCACCAGCTTGTTAGTATTGGACCTTTTTCCTGTTGACCTATTACGTCACAGACCAAACAGTGGACAAACAATTTAGCTACAGTTAGCTACGGTTAGCTAGCCGCTAACTGGTACCATGGTGGACAACTTTACAGCTCTGTATGAGGAGATACAGCATGAACTGTGTCTCCTCATCCGTCCAAAAAGTCACGGCTCTGGATGTAGATTTCTCCATGTTGTTACCGGCTTCTTCTTCTCTTACACATTTAATGCTATTGGACTTCCGGTTCAAAGCCCGGGTGGGAAACTGTGGAGCATGCTCAGAGCGCCTCGGCCAGTTTGGGTCTGATTGACATTTTCAGTCAGACTAACAAGTTTACATGTATTTAAAAGTCTGGTTTTATGCAGACTGACACAATAAGTTCATTTTCTCTGATGTCATGTAAACGTACTGAACATGAATAACTCTGTCTGCTGTCGTCCAGGTCTGCTCCATGCTGAGTGTCCCGGCTGACTTCAACGATTACGTCAAAACTTCTGAAGGGACCTCTTTCTGAGTCACTCCTGATGATGAGGAGGTGCTGAGCCGACCTCTGTGTCCCGTACAGAGCAGAGGGAAGTTGAGCTGCAGTCAGCCGACAGTCCTGGAGTCAGTCTCCCCGGCGGCTGGGATCGGTCTGCAGTGGATTCATTCGGGGTTTGGAGTGTGAAACAGTCTTCTTTGAGTCTTTACCCTTGCTGTCTGGTGGGAATCTGCAGTCCTCATTAAAGTGGATAATCTGAGGAGACGACTGCAGTCAGTCTTTACTGTTGAACTTGCAGAGTGTGGAACTGAGTCCCAGTAAGACTTCAGAGACTGGGAACAGGAGAAAGAAACTGTTTCTCATGTGACTGTGGAAATGAGTGGATTTGTTGCAGTGATGTTTAAGCAACTGAACTGAAAATCAGAAATGTAATAAACAGACTGTTAAAGACAAAGATCAGGGTTTTGTTTTCAAGAATACTTAACACAACAAAGACACCAAATTAAAATCTTCAGATAAAATAGAAACACAGTTTGCTCTTTGGTGTCTGAAGTGTGTGTACTCTTTGTGAGGTTTAACCAAACTGCAGTGACTGAAATAATGAAACAACTTGTGCCAAATACTTTTACTCATGTGCTCCAGTTATCTTCAGTGTCTGCTGCTCTGTGCTCCACTACACTTCAGTTTGGAGGCTGCGTTTTGTGGTGCTGTTGGAGCTGTGTTGTGTTCAGTACAGTCAGTGTTGTGTTCAGGGGCGTATTCCAGAGGGGGTTTAGTGACAGTAAATCCTGAGATGAGGGAAACTCTGGGTTTTCAGTTCCAGAAACAGACGCATCTCCAACTCTGGGTCGGTTACTGCGGTAACTGACTCTGTGAACCTAACCTAACCTTTTCTTCAACACACCCTGAGTTTGTCTGCGTCTCCTCTCTCTGACAGAGGCAGACATGCTGTCTCATTACCTCATTGGCTCAGTCTGTGCCAAAACGTGCATTGACGTGTATTCATTTATTTTTATTGTCTGTCAGAATCAAATCCAGGTTGGATATTAGTTTGTTAATCAGGACGATGTAAAGTTTTTATGTGCTGTCAGTCATTTCTTTGAACAGTGTTTTTGCCCTCACATTAAAATATCACAACATTAAGATGCCTTCAGCTCAGAAGAAAACCTTTTTTATTATAACACTGTGACTCTGCACACACGACAGCTGTCTGTTTGGTAGAGAAGTCCCACTAAGATGGTTAATGCACATAATGTGGAATCTTTGTGCTTAACCTTTGTGCACTGCTGAGAGAAAACTTATTTTTTCTGCTAAGAAGAAACTTCCTACATTATCATTATGATCACAAAATTGTCAAAGGACCATGTGTGTCACAATTTATTTTTGGACATTTTTGATCAATATCTACAGGGTTTTTTGTTTCATTCTTCTTATCAAAATGTTTTTAATTAATTTCAAAGCATTATTTAATCAAATTTTAACTCTTTACATGTCAGCTCGTATCATACACCACTAATTTCCATTTGTTAAAAAAATATTGAAACATTTTCAACATACTAACAGGTGATGAGATTATTCTGCTGTTATTATTCCAGTCTGATAAGAGTCAATCATAACCCACAATACTGATTTTAGTGCATTATTTATTTTTTGCCTGGTGCAATGTCAGGTTTGAATAAAAGTCCTTTAATTTCCTCCCATGACAAAAAATATGTCATACCACCCTCCCCCTGGAAAGATCATGAATTTTTGATCAGTTCCTACTTTTTATTAAATAGTTAGTAAATTAAATTGATCACAAGATCAATGAACAATGATTACTTACCTGTGATGTGATTGGTGGCATAATACCTTTCATATTTGAGACTCTATATTTTTGAGTGAGCAGGATGGTGGTGCAGAATCAAAGTGCGCTTTTAGAAAGAGTGTGTCTCGTCTGAACGCGCTTTAACAGACTTTCAGTGGCTCAGTGTTTGTGAATAAAGCAACTGAATCCAGTCGAGCCAAAGATTCAAATAGAAGTCAAAAATGTAGAATCTACTGTATTTTAACCTCAACGCCTTTTCAAGTGCAAAACATCAACCACATTATTACTGGATCACATTGTGACCTTACATTCACTTTGATGTAGATACATTTTTCATCTTCAGTTGCTGCCCCACTGTTAGTGTTGCATTCAGTGCGCTGCAGTCACAGTTATATCGACGGTTTGAAACAGTTTCAGAGGTTAAAACTACAGTCTCATTATTTGCAGTGAGTTCATGAAAACACTGACATGAACTGCTCTGACAGGTGTGATTAGGTAAAGCACAACCTGAAAAGGCAGAAAACTGGATATTTGGAGAAAGTAAATTCTGAGTGACAGAAACCTGGGATGTAAACTGACAGCAGAGGGAGGAAAGTCGTCCTTGGACAAACTATACAAGCAGCGAGCCACTAGAGGGCGATGCTGTCATTCAGATATTAGTTAAAGCTGAGATGAGCTGTGTTCAGTGGTAAATAAAATACTGCAGTCATTTTAATTCTAAGGAAATAAAGAACTGATTGGCTGATTGGTGGATGACACATTGTGTGATGATCTAGGGCACAAATTAATGTTTAATGTGATTGTTATGTTTCCACATTGAAACTTTCTGAGCAGCTGTAGCTTCCCTTTTATTTTACCACTATAAAAAGTGAAGTGAAAATATGGTGCTGTGAGCTCACACGGCTTCCACCCTCATTACTTACCCTGCATTGTAACAGCAACACCTGAATTGTCAGACTATCAACTGAAAAAAGTGCATGCACATCTACGGCAAGCAGAGCAGGTCAAACTTGTAGCAGGTCTGTAAACTGCGATGGATGTTTAGAAAGGACAGTTTGGGTAATAATGTTACAATCCACTTCCATCTTCTCCTCCAGATACAATACAATGCTATCAGGGTTATAAATGATCTCCGAACCCTCAGCTGACGTCTGGGACCACCTGAAAACCTCCAAATGAGAATTTTGGGTTGTTTCATGAAGTTTATGTTTCTATTCATACATACTGCACAGTTCTATAGCTGCATTTAGATGCAGTTTGTGTTAAGAAGAGAGTGTAATTTATAGTCCATGCACTCAAAGTAGTTCCTGTCAGCTTATATTCGAGCTATAAGAAGTGTTGCCAGACTGGTCCAGCAGCACAGAATATAAGCTACATCTGTTAGCATGGATATAATACCAGCACCCCGCTAACCACAGGAGACTGTGACCTGCCAGAGTGTTGCATTAAAAAAATAATAATTGCAGCATGAATAATACCTTGTGTGGTGTCATTAAAGGAAAACTTGTTGGCACAGATGCTTTAAGTTTGCTACCTGAGTAAAAGAAACCAAGATTAGACTCTGCAGCAGGATGGATACATGGTGACTGCTCCTGAACGCAGCCCAACTGCCAGAGGAAAATATTGGCATTGTATGTTTCTGCAAACTACAGATATGTTACATTTGCACTTTTTATCTATATCACATCAGCATTTCTAGCTTGACGTAGTTCATGAGCTGACTTTGCCATCAGGAGGTGGATGGGATGGTGGAAGGTGTGACACCAAGAGAAGATGCTTGCAAAGCTGCAGACCACTGTTTGAGACCAACAAACAATGAAACCGGTTGTGTTTTAGTGAGTCAGCGCTGTGATTCCAGCTGAATTTTTAGCTCCAAATGTAGGTGTTTTATAGCAGGTCATGGGTGTGTTTACAGTAGCTTTTTAGACTCTAATTGTCAGTGTTTTGTAGCAACCTGTCAGTGTTTTTTGAGCAGCTTTTTAGACTTCAAATGTGGGTGTTTTGTAGCACTCTGTAGAGTTTTTCCTGCAACTTTTAAGGCTTCAAACATCTCTGTTTCACAGGCACCCATGGATATGTTTTCTTTAAATTGGTTTTTCAGGTTCCAAACATGGGTGTTTTGTATTGACCCATAGAATTTTTTTTTTTTTTTTGCAGTTTTTAGGCTTCAGTCATCAGTGTTTTGTAGTGACCCATCAGTCTTTTTCCAGCAACTTTTGAAGCCCCAATCATCATCATCCTGTCTGTGTTTTTCAAGTGGCTTTTTAGGCTCCAAACATGGGTGTTTTGCAGGGGCACATTGAGTTCTTCCATCGGCTTTTTTGCTCCAAGGTGGGTGTTTTGTAGTGACCTGTCAGTGCTTTTCTATCGGCTTTTTATACTCCATATGTGGGTGTTTTGTAGCAACATGTTGGTGTGTTTTCAGTGGGGATATTGCCACGAAAAAGTGATTGTTTTTCAAGAGACATGGCTGCATTTCCTGGGATTTTAAGCCAAAACAATATCTTTACCTAATCATAACCAAGTGTTTTTTGTGCCGACACCTAACCACATTAACCACAGCGTTATCGAACGTACATCATCAACATATTTGGTACATAACAACTTGCAAATGTAACATGATCCATGGTTTGCAGAAATGTATAATGCCACCCTTTTTTCTGGCGACTGGTTTACTGCACGAGTCCAAACTTTATTTAGACGGAACAAAGAGAACAGCAACACTGTGTTTGCTGTGATGAGCAGATCATGTCCTGCTCTGAGTGAACTGCAGAGAGGCCAATAGCTTTTTGATCGGGTCTGTCTCCTGATGGGGAGCCATTGGTTAATGTTAAACTCCTGTCCCTCTCTTTAAATAAAGCCAGGTCACCAGCCTCTGCTGTCAACAGTGTACTGTACGTACAGAGTGTATACATGCTGGTGTAATTAGGTTTATTTTGTCTACTCAAAATAGATTAAGTGTAGAAAGTTTCTTTTCACCAGACAATGAGTTTTTAAGGAGATGTAGTTTATCTTGACGTGTTTCGACTGTCACTACATATACATGCTGCCGCTCTTCAGTCCACACACACTCAACAACAACAAAAACAACAACAGCAGCATCAGGAGGCACCAGAGAGGACCAGAGGGACTGTTTGAGCCTTTGTCAGCCAGCCCGCTTTTTATTCCATGTCCGAACTCACACTGACAATAACCCAACAGGACTGTGTGTGTGTGTGTGTGTGTGTGTGTGTGTGTGTGTAGTGGGGTACAGTAGCAGCTGGTTTATGCAGTGTCAGGCAGCAGGTGAACGCTGTCTTCTGGTCGGCAGCTTCTGAAGGCAAACAGAGAAAAGAGAACGAGGGAGGCGGCGGGGCGGAGGAGGGGTGGAGGGTGACAGGGGCCAAATGAGAGAGGCTGCATTCAGTTGAGTGTTTTAGTACGACTTGTACCCTCTTAAAGTCAAAAAAAAAAAAATCAAAGGCAGAGGCAGAGTGAGCAATTATCAAATGAAGAAACCAAAGAGACAGAGAGAGGGAAGAATCGATTGTAGCCGCAACGAAGTGAAGAGGAGGAAGAGGAGGAAAAAGGGTGAGGAGTTAGAGGAATAATAATCATAGGAAGAAGGAAAGGAAGAGAAAAAGGGAGGTGGAGGAGAAGAGGAGAAAGATGAGGAGGAAGAGCAGGAGGGAGAGGAGGAGGGACTGAGGTCTTTGAGAGAATGTAGAGGAATGTGGGGAGCAGGTGGTGAGTGGTGACATGAAAAGCAGTGGTGACAAATGCTGCCGTCCGGCCGGCCGGCAGCAGAAAAGCCCTCTGAATGAAATGGTGGCATCGGATTTCACCACAAGCACACCAACAGCTCCAGGAGGAGGAGGAGGAGGAGGAGGAGGAGGAGGAGGAGGAAGGGGGGCTTCATGGAGAACAGCAGACAAACATGGTGTCCTCTGAGTGAACACACATAGTTTAGATTAAACTCAGCTCTCATCCAGTTTAATAACATATATATTTATGCACATTAAAATCATATTTATATGGTTTGAAACATAATTGTTAATAAATCGTATGGACACAGAAATTCATGGAAATGTTAAAAATGGTAGAAAAAGTTTTGATGATAATGATGATGATGATAACCAAGCACTCTCTATCTGCTGATAATGAAGATTTTAACATGTGGTTAAAAGCTCTGCGACTTTAAGGCCATATCCACACGAAGACGGAACCGATTTTATTTTTTAAAAGTTTTCCATAAACACGGAATCGTCTCAAGATATGTGTACGTAAACATGAAGCCACTGAAAATGCTGTAGTATATATGCAAGGCCTGTAAGTGGCGCTGAAAACGGAGAATAAG